AAAATACAAAAAAAAAACCCAAAAAAATTGCCGTTTAAAATAACGCCGGGCCATGGGGGCCTCTCAAGATTTTTTCCTTGGGGTTAAAATAGAGGTTTGATTTTATATGTTGCAACGGAAAAGACCCCGCAAATGCAAAGAATCAGAAAAATCTTTTTATAAAAGAAAGTTCCAAAAAAGGTTTTTTTACAAAATTGCATACATAAAGAAGATAAGACGAACGGAGTGTCCTTTCAGAAAAAGCCATACTATGAGAGCCCCCCTTTTTCTTCGGGATTTTTATTTTCCCATACCCCCTTAAGTTTTAAGGGAGGGGGGGGGCCTTTTTGTTGGGCCCCCCCTTTTTTTTGTGCGGGTTAGTTTTTTTAAAAAGGGAAAAACAAGGAGTTAAACCGCAACAGAACAAACAAATTTAAGTTATAAGGTTGGGCCTCTAGATATATTTTTATTTCAATAAACATTAAAATGTTGTAAAACAGAAAGAAAACAAATGCCGTTTCATAAAAACTAATGCATTGTGCCCCTTGACCATATCTCTTGGACTTAGAGCTTTTGTGCCATATTTTGTGTATATAAGTCTTAACTTAGGTAAGGTAATCCGCAACCCGAATTTAAAAATGTGTTTTACCCCCATTTTGGGGGCATTAATCAAAAATTTTCATAAGTTTTAAATTTAACAAAAAAATCACAGATCCAAAAATCTTTTACGGGCTTTTCCAAAAAGTCAAAATTTTTAGTTTTATTTTGCAAAAGAAAAACCCTTTTTAAACTGACACATTTTGACTTTTTACAAAGAATCAGGTATTTTTGGGTTTTAAAAGGGAAACCAAAAAGGAAATTTTTACACTGTTTTTACAGTTTCGAAAAAAAAATTTTGTTGTATTTTTTAAAGCATTTTAAATTACTGTTATCCCTTTTGTAGGGTCGCCCCCAGAATCTTTTGGGCCTTTTGGGGTTTGAGCTTTGTACCATAAATTGTTAAAAGAACAACCTAAAAGACAAAGGGTATTTGCCCCGAAATCTATAAATTTTTTTATCCCAAAACGCACGTGCCTTTTGGTCATTTTTTTTAACTTTAGAGCTTTCTGCAATACAAAGATTTTCCAAATCAAAAAAAAATGGCTATAGAATAAATGGTGGCTTAGAAAAATTCATAATTTTATAACCGAAAGGGAAAACGCCGATCAAAAGCCAACCCATGTCAATGCAGGCCTCTCGGGTCTAATTGTCATTGGGGTATTAAGCTTTGTTGCTCCGCGCCTGGAAAAGCGCCTCTTTGTTCGTTTAAATTTTTTTGTCCAGCACCCGATTTTTATCAACTAATCAGTTGAGTTACAAGCTTAAAAAAAATTCGGAAAATTAAAGAATTCCTTCCGATTTCCCTTTAAAAAGAAAGTCATATAACTGGTTTCCCTCTTCGGTGATGCGCTTTGAATGAAGAATTTGGGGATAATTTTTCATGCTCCAGCTCGGAAGGAGTATAAAAGACAAAGAAAAAGAAAACTCAAATTCGGTAATTTATGTCTTAATTTGTTTAAGTTAAGTTAACCTGTGACTTACTTTGCAACACCGAAAAATTTAGATTTCTTTATTTGAATAAGAAAATTTCGTATGCGAACATAGTGTTAACGTAGGGGGTTTCCCTTTTTAAAGTTAAATTTTTGAAAATGTTTGATTGCGTTTACAAAATACTGATAATTAAGTTTTATGAAGGTATAGACGTGGTTTCTAGCCCGACGGAAAATATTTCTTTAAATTTTTATAAAATGCAGCAGCTCCAAAGATTTTTGTTCTTGAGATACTACCGGCTTGTAAATTTGAAACTTTATTTCTCTAAGTAACCAAGAGGTTTGAGCTTGAGAATTAAATTATGTAAGTATGGGGCAAATACCGCCAAGTTGAAAAGAAGCAGTATCCATAAGCCCAGCAAGGACGATATTTGAGCGGCAGTAAGCAGTAGGCAGTAGTTAGTGGCTATCTTCTATTCACGTGTCAATGAAAGCTTATTCAAAGTATCCGGATTTGAATCCTTTGTAAGAGAGCACTATGGGTTGATTTACTTTAAAGCCCTATATGCTTCAGAAATGCTTTCATTTTTATTTCTCGAAAGCTCTTTAATATTGCTGTTATTTTATTTTATCAATAAAATTTCTCATTGAACCATCTTTTTCATATGTTGCTTTTTGGCATTAAGTAAAGTTATAGTGAATATGTATTTAACATGGAAAGCAAAATACTACTTTGTTTACATTTTGCTACATTTATGGCAAATTATTTTACTGATTGCTACTTTCCTCAGGTATCTTTTTCTTAAACCAATCTTTAAACAGTATAAAACTCATGTTTGCCCTTTCATAAGAAATAAAAATTAATTTTTTTAGGCATAATGGGCCTTTACTATAGCAATTAATATCCACGAGATACGTAAATAATTTCGCCGTAAAACAAAACAATTAATCACAAGGTTTTGTGCAATGTTAGGCTATGAACAGTGCTAACGAGTAAATTCACTATTGAAGGATCTTTCACGTATTATTTCTTCACCCAAGATTAAAATATTTATGAAGATATCTGACTAAATAAACAAGATAAAATGTTTTTTAAAGCTTGACATTGACACACTCAAATGGTTTCAAAACAATTTGATAATGTATCATTAGAATATGAGAACATTTGATGAGTGTATTTTAGGCAGGGAACAAACTATAGCACGTTTTGATTAAACATCTTATTGCAGAAATTATTTGCAAAAGGTTTCAAACATTATCATGCTCAGAAGCACAATGTTTAACCGATGGAAACTTTTTATGTCTTAATACAAGACATTATCACTGGAAAAATCAATAAAAATTTGTAAAATTCCATGACCGAGGATTGAATCAAAAAGTTATCAGCCCGATGTATTTCCGGTAGTCAGAGAACCCATCTAATGGTCCTACTTTTCAATATAATCGCCCTCTACATCAATGCACTTTGCCCACATGTGCTCCCAAATTGTTTAACCCTTCAAAAATAAAAACTCTCTATTTTGGTCCTCGAAGAACTCATTTTCGGAAACAGGTAGGGGTCAGAGGGGCTAAGTCCGGAGAATATTGGAGAGAGGGAAGAATTTCAAAGCCGCGATCAGTTGCAACAGCCATCGCAACTTGGGATGTGTGAGCTGGCGCATTGTCGTGCAGGAGCAGAACGCCTTTAGTCAGTTTGCCCCTCCTTTTACGCGCGATTTCTTGACGCAGACGTATCAATTCGTCTGAATAGTATGTACCGTTTATGGTACGACCTTGTTCAAGATAGTCAATCAAGATTATCCCCAGACTATCCCAAAAAATTGAAGCCATCATCTTCCCTGATGATTGCACCCTCTTGAATTTCTTCGGAGGGAATGAGCCAGGGTGCTTTCACTGCATGCTCTGTTTTTTGGATTTTGGATCGAAGTGATGGACCCATGTTTTATGCTGAGTTACGACCCGGTAGATAAAACCAGGGACATTCTCTTAGCGGGACAAAAGATTTCTTGAAATGTCAAGCCTGGTCCGTTTCTAGTCGTCAGTCAACTCTCTGGAGACCCACCTAGCGGCTACCCCACTACGTATCGTGTGTAAATGTCAGTGTAGTGGCTAGAAGTATATCGGGCCGAGAACTTTTGATCATACCTCGTAATAGAAATTAAAATATATGGCTGTGATTTTTATATATTATTTTGGTTACCTTGCCACCCTTTTAACAAACTACAAACAAAGATATATAAATGGATTCTTTATTACACTTGTGTAAATAATTGATATCATTTAATTATATATATATATGATATATCTAAAGAAAACAACACAGGGACACACAATAAATACTTCTTAACAACAGATACACGCAGCAATTATCATATTTTATATAAAAATAGATAAAAAAAAAATCTTCCAAAATAATAAACAATCATATATACTCATGTACATATACTTGGTAACACATAAATACATAACATAAAGCACATATCTTTATTATTAAAAACAGAAAACGTGAAATTTAAGTTTGGAAACTGAAAAGAAAATATATTAAATGTTCAGCATCATTCAATGATTTCATTACAAAGAATAATATAAATGATATAATTTGATCGATTTGGCAGCCATTAATATATGTTTATATCTTGTGTATAGATAGCTATATCAAAAGAGATTCAATACATGTCAAACATAAACAAACATAAAGTAAACATAAAAATCTAGCTTATAAGGATATTGCAAAATGTTAATATTTTGATTAAACCTTGAGATTCTACTATGAAGATCTCTGGAAGCAGACGACAAATGGACCCAATCATTCCTAACACGTAGCGAATAAAATAACACCCAGCCTTGTAGTATCAAACATTAAAACTGCACTAAATTGAAATATTTCAATATGTATACGACTGAATCTTGATTTTCGCAAATATATAACTTTATTATATTCAACAATTTGTATAATATATTTCTACAAAAAAAAATATTGATCTGAATCTGTTAATTTCAGCTTTAAAAATATTTTACATTGATATAAAAAAGTTTGTCCATTAAAATATTTGTTAACTATGTTTATTTCAAAAGAATAGTTCTTACCTTAAAGACACATACAGTACCCTCCCTTTGTCATTTTCATAGTTATTCATATATATAAGCATTTTTGAGGTTTGTATTTCTTTGGAATGTTTGACAATATGGGTTAAATGACACATAATGGATTTTCTTACAAAAAATGAATAACAAAAAGCAGTAAGTTAACATTAAATAGGTTAATCCTAACCGTATTCAAAATAATAACAACGATATGTTTATTAATTAATATAGAGCATAAACATCTATTTAGATGTTCATTTTTTAGTAATGATTATTTATAGCGAAGTCAAAACTATTATTTTTTTTGTATCACTATGCATGCAATATCAACAAACAATGTTGATATTTTATTCGACATTGGCCCATACTCCTCATCAACTGTCATTACATTAACTGTTAGTTGCTATATATGACACGCATGAAATTTAAAATCTATTATACTATCTCTCTTCATTCTTTCATTTAACCATACACTGTCAATTTTATCTAACCACAATTCCCTTTTTTAATGCAGCAAGGCAGTTGCAACAGCACCCTCGTCATAAATGCATGGCATTCCAACACTCGGAAGCATCAGTCCCTCATGCAAATGACTCTCCGACAACTATCCCTGCATACGAAGGCTTCTTCTTTATTTGTGTGTTCATAATGTATCCAACATACGTCATTATCAGGTCGTCCATATTGTGACCCTGAGATAAAAAGTTTAAGTTAATAATATGATTATTAAAAATACTATTTTAAATATCAATAGATTGATATACAATAAGTTTTGCACTTTAACATGGTAAATATTGAATAGGACGGTGTACTTATAGGGACAGATTATACAAAAGGTGTAATAATATGTCAACAATGAAAGAAAGATCCACAAGGCAAAAGCGACACTCACAGAACTCACCCCATGACACAATCCGCAAGCCACCAAAAAGGCATCGAAAAAGGAGAGGACAAAAGGATGGTGAAAGAAGGAGGGGGCATGTAATAAGTGAAATGATAAGATCTAAAAGTTCTATTATGATGTCAATACTGATATACATATAAGTAAAATAACAATGATGATTTGTTTTCTTTGTCATACAAATCTCATTGTTCTTATAAACGTTTTAAAACATTCGTTTTGTTATGTGTGATAAACAAAGATAATTGCTTAACATAACCTACCACGGAAGTTTCCATATACAACTTGGAAAGGCTGGAACCTTCACCTATCACCAACGTGAAAGAGTATTCATCAAAAGCCCAGTTGGGAACTTTGTCAAAACTAAACATGTCGATCACCTCCTGTTTAAACAAAACATGTCAAAATTTAATTTGTTCAAGAAAATACATGTCGAGAGTTGATATAACTAAATATGTTAAATTTCATTAACACGAAACATGTCAAAATTTGCTTGAACACAACGTATTAAAATGTATTAGATCAAAACATACGCATATTTGTATACAACATTTGTCAAAATTTGCTTAAACAAAATATGTCAAAATGGATAATATTTTAAAAAAATATATGCGTAGATTGTACTGTATGCCAGGCTTACTCATTGTAAAAAACAAAACTTTAACCCTCCCTATCGTTTAATGTATAACACGAATTCCATACCACTCTTTTCAACAATTTTATTTTATTTTGTATTTCTACATACTCAACAGTCTATTTTTTGGTTGAATACACTCTATTAGATGAGTTACTTTTTATAACTATGGTTTTGTGTTGTTCCTTACATATGGAAACTTACAACTTGTATAGAACCAAAGAAGATTAACCTTGCCCTCTGTTGGAATTGTAAGCAATTAGCCACAGGTATGGAGATTTGCCAGCCAGCACATCCGTGCAGTCTGACCAGGTTTACTAATTTTTAATTTCACAAAATGGAAGTCGGACGAGTCTTTTAAATATTTTTTCACACTAAAAACGCTAGTCAGGAAATCAATATTTTCAACAAACCAGTTTTATGATAAATTGCGTAGTAATTATATTGAACAATAAGTATAATGTTTACCTTAGTACCACCATCAATCAATCCTACTCCGTTGTGACTTACGGCAACAAGAAGGTTTTTTGGCATTGATTTGGTACTTCTTTGCTGAAATAAAATAATGATTATGATAATAATAATATCAAAAACGATTGTCTTTATACAGAATAAGCAAATATCTAATTGGTCAGATATAGTTATTTATGAGAATACCAAAGTTCTGATTAATGTTTAGGTATTACAGCAATGCTTATTCCTTCAGATATCTAAATTCTGCGTATTCTGTTCAAGCATGTGTTTTTCTATTTGTTCTATGTCAATTTTAAACTCTGATTCATAACCATCCCTTGATTTATTGACCGCTCTTTCCATTAACTTTAATTCCAAAACTAATGTATGTACATTAAGTGTTCTTGCCCTATGTAATTATAATTCATTAATTGTTTTTTAAAGCAATATGGTACGTACCTTCACTTCGAAGAAAACAGATCCATACGTTGGCCACTTCATCAGCCCTTTCAAGAAAGCCACTTTTCCATCCTCCTTCGTCGGAAATTTCAACTTGGATATACTGGCACGCAGCTCCTGTTTATAAAAAATGCTCCCCTATCATTATGTATATTTATATAGGATTCATTTCTTTTCTTAATTTTTCTAATGCGATAGTCATCAGAGTGCTTTTCATATGCATGTGGAACACAAAAACATTAAATACTGAGTCTATATCCATTGAGTAAATGAATTTTTGATGAAAATATGTACATTGTTTCTTAAAAACATGGATAGACAAATAACCCACGGAGAAAGACGTTCGTTTGGATAAGATTCGGCCAA